AGAGAGAGAGAGAGAGAGAGAGAGAGAGAGAGAGAGAGAGAGAGAGAGAGAGAGAGAGAGAGAGACGACGAGAGAGAGAGGCAGTGGGAAAGTGGGCGAGAAACGACACGAGAGAGATATTCAACGGCGTTAAACGCGTTCGAACGAGATTCAACGCATTTCAACGGCGTTGAACACGATTGAACGCGGGTGTTCAGCAGCCATTTGTCGGTGTGCGGCGGTGTGCAACGGTGTCTGGGCGGGTCTGTGAGAGGAGGGGGGGGGGGGGGGGGGGGGGGGGGGGGGGGGGGGGGGGGGGGGGGGGGGGGGGGGGGGGGGGGGGGGGGGGGGTTGGGGTTGCTAGGCGTCGTCAAATTAGAGGGGTCGGGAGGCCTCATAGAGAGGGCTCCGGGTCGACGCTTCGGAGTGGGAACAAGGACAGTCGCCATGGGGAGGGCACAGTGACGCCAGCACGGGCCCGCTCCGGAACATGTGCAGGAGACGTTCAGGGGCTGCTCCCCTGTGTATCGATACCTTGTTGTCGGCCAGAAGGTCAACAACAAGGGGGTGATGATGTTCCGTTGCACATTTTGCAACAAAGTGTTCTAGGGGACTCTGTACCAGGCCACTAGACACTTCACCCAGACTAACTACTGCAAGGACGTCGGCGACGAGGCATTGTAGGAGATCGCAAGACGGACTCAACAGAAGTTCGAGTCTGATCAGATGGAGAGGGTTGGCAGGTACGCACCGGAGCGTGAACTCGATGAGCCCCGAGCCGGTGGTGCAAGGGGAGGAGAGGCGGGGCAGCGTCCGGTGGAGGGAGGGGGCGGGGCAGCGTCCGGTGGAGGGAGGGAGCGGGGCAGCGTCCGGTGGAGGGAGGGGGCGGGGCAGATGGTGGGCAGGGCGTGTCCGACCGCCCATTGGGGGGTGGAGGCGGTGACATGGAGGAGAACGTGATCCACATCGATCGCGAGGCACGTGGGCCGGGCGAGGAGGGATTCCCAGGACACGAGGGCGTGCCAGAGTTCCATCCAGCCACTGGGAAGAGGATGGTGGACTGGCTGCAAAGAGCAAGCAACGGACAGGTGTCTGCAACGGAGGGTCTGAGAGAGGAGGACCCTTCAAAGAGAGAGGAAGGAGGAGCTGATCCGACTGCCACCCAAGCTGGAAAGAGGCTTCCCCAGCAGAAGGTGACTGAGGTCTACGGTGGCGAGTGGGTTGCTCGCCACAAGAAAAACTTCCTTCGCTGGCTTGGCTCCCATGCTCCGTCCATGTCTGCAACAAATTGTTGTCAGACATGGGGACGAGTTGCGACGGGGACGACTTGCGACGGGGACGACTTGCGACGGGGACGACTTGCGATGGGGACGAGTTGTGACGCGTTTGTGGACACGATCACACGCACTCGTGTGCTGGTGGTGTTGTTCAAAACCCACCAGGCAGCCCTTCATTTTTTAAGGAAGTGCAGCCCCAACAACGGGCTTGTTCTTTCCTGCGAGATGCGGTTTGCGTCTGTTTACTCCATGCTGGAGAGGCTGCTGGTTGTGCAAGACACTTTGCAAGGCTGATGCGAGGGGACGACTCGCAGGTTTTTGCTTCCATCCCGTTGTCCGTCGATGTGTGCTACAGGGCGTGTTGGGTGCGCCGACAGATCAGATGGGATCCTTGGTGGCAGAGGGTGGCCACCATCGTCCATATCATGGAGCTCGTCATGCAGTCGCTTAGGTGGATGGATGGTTGAGGGCAGTTCATGTCATTCATGGTCAAGTGGGCACAGGATCTTGTCCACCGTGTAAAGCACGCATGCGCTCCTTTGGGCCAGTCCTTCGCATACCGGATCATCAGGCATGTGCAGGCCCGCGCACCACACATGCTTGAGCCTGCTCACTGCGTTGGGTTCTTCCTGAACCCCCGCAGGCGACATGTTCAATATTTTTCAGGCGAGGTGGAGGGTTACCATGCTTGGCTTGTGAGGCAAGCCAAGAGGTACATTCTGACGCAGACGGGTTTCGAGTTAGACGGTGCAGATTACATCGTTGCATGTCGGCAATTTAAGGACTTCCACATGCAGCAGGGCAGGTTTGGTGATTGGGGCGGGGCGGAGGGGCGTGCTCGTGGGCGCGCGTGTAGCGGTGATGCCGAGACGATTGAGTGCACATCTTGGTGGTCCCTGTACGAGGCTGGCGTGCCTGAGTTGCAGCGGTGCGCTCTTCGCGTGATGCACATGTGGTCCTGCGCATCTCCAGCGGAGAGGAACTGGGCAGTCCACGAGGGCATCCACACGAAGAAGCGCAACAGGTCGGCCTTCGAGAAGGTCGTGCAACTCATCGAGATCATCGCAAAAGTGCGGTTGACAGAGTATCGGCGGGCAGGATGGGGTTATGTGTTGCCATGGCAGAGGGACGAGGGCATGCTCGACTGCAAGGCAGGACTCGCGGTGGAGTTGGTGCGCACGGGCACGCGCAAGAGGATAACGCAGGAGAAGATTGCCCAACATGTTGTGCTTATTACGTGCGATTCCATCGGGGCTTCCGCACCGCCCTCTACTGATCCTGTTTTTGATAGACGTGCTTGCATTTTCCGTCTATACCCCAGGGACTATGACTCGGATGAGGAGCGAGCACCCGAGGCAGCAGATGACCCTGCGCTCCCCATTCCTATCGAGATCGACGAGACGCACGAGGATGCCGACGACGCGGAGACGAGGACATACACCACACGACGGGCAACGGACCGGGCTGAGAGGGAAATGGGGGGAGACGAGGATTGTTGGGGCCCTTTCGGGGAGGTGGCTTTCACATGTGATGTGCATGATGAGAGAGTTGAGAGCTCTCCTGCAGGCCCGAGCCGCGCAGAGGCGGGGATGAGGACTCCTACTCCGACGAGGCGAGAGTCGTCCGTTCCGCCACCCCCTGCTCCGAGTCTTGCACCACAATCGCCCATCTCGCCACTTCAATCAGTCACTACAGCGGCGGGGACGGAGGAGTTGGCATCCTCCTTGCCTCAGCACGAACTTCTGCGGAGATCTACGGTGGTCCGCCAGCTGAGGTTACGATCACCTTTCCTAGGGGTCTTGCAGGAGGAGGTTGGCCACCGTGCCACTCTGGTGGACAGGGAGGGGGCAGCCCGAGCAGGGGAGGAGGTCACGGCAGCGGCAACAGTGGAGGGGGAGGTAGCAGTAGCGGACGAGGAGGTACCAGCAGTGGCGACAGGGGAGGAGGAGATGCCAGCTGCCACAACAGTGGAGGGGGAGATAGCAGCTGCAGTGCAGGGGGAGGAGGAGGTAGTGCCAGCGGCGGTGGTGTCAGACGTTGATATGGAGCATGATGGTGCGGACGCCACTGGGGGCGGTGACGACGCCAAGGAGCACCTCATGCAGCAGCTTATCACGGAGGAGTTCAATCCAGTCGTTGGCGGTTTCACCCTGGGCGTGGCGACGGGGTTGGGGATGTCTCCTCCCACAGGGTGGGCAAGTTCAAAGATGGGGACCCACTTCGACTTTGACATGTCAATGGGCGCTCCCCCTACTTGCAATGGCGCGGCATCGATGGATCGAGCGCCATCAAGGGACGAGGCGGCACGCGAGATAGGGTCGCAAATCCCGAGAGAGAGGACGTTGACGGAGTCTCCGGATACGGCACGCGACATCATGGAGCGAGAGAGGTCTCGACTTATGGCATCCAACGACCCGCGTGCTCAGGCATTTGCACGTGCCTTGGAGGAGCGCAGGCGTCGAGAGACAGGGAGAGATGGTGGGCAGGGTGGGGTGGTGGCGTGGGCGGACGTTATGGAGGGAGTGGCAGCAGAGGCGGCGGATGAGGCTGTGGAGGGTGGGCCGCAGGCGGTGGATGAGGTTGTGGAGGGTGGACAGGGGCGAGACGAGGGGGCTAGCGACGCACGGCCCGTAGTTCACGAGACAAAGACGGGTCCAGTTGTCCTGTTCTCGCGCCTGCACTTGATCGAGGCCTGACGGTTGCAGCCGACTGAGATGTGCCACCTGTTATTATCACAGATTTGGGGTCCAAACCGACGGTTGTGCCTCCACGTCCACGACGACCGGCTCCGCAGAGATCGATCATCCATTGGATGCAGAGGAGTTGGCAGTGGCCGTTGTGCGTGATGTCACATGACTCGACCGGCGGATATTTAACCTGAAACTTAACCATCCCCAATGGCAAACGATCCCTTTGGTTCCATGGTGCCCTGCGTCGCAGGTGTAGTCCGGGTCTACCTCCAGCAGAGGACATACCAGGGCAGATGTTCCAGGGGTTTCGGGGGGCCTGCAGGAGAGAGTGTCACGTACAAGAGACGTGCCACCCCCTCCTCCTAGACCACGTGTGGGTGATACGTCGCCGTCGCCCACAGGCCGAGGCTCTCGATCCCCACACACGCCCGAGAGATTGAGGATTCGTGAGACGACGGCGGTTGAGCGGGATGTGTGCGACACGACGTTATTCGGGAGGACGGATATAGACTTGGATTCCACCGGCCGTGTCACTAAGGTCACTGCATGCCTTCAGCTGGGTTTGGGTGTGGGGAGCTGGGTAGGGGGCAGGGGGTGACGTTGTTTATTCCCAGCGGTATGCGTGGATGGGTGTTGTGGGGTGATGCAGCTCGAGGGTGGGGGGGGGCGGTTTGTCTGGCAGGCTGGGGCGGCTTT